GTCTCTGATGAGTTTTATTAACAACTGAACCTGTTAATGATCAAGGTATGGCACAAGTTTGAAAACTTTTAGCTGGAATATTTTGTACATAAAAGTGTAATGTCTATAATGTGTAAATTTTTACATATTAAGTGTTTTTAATTATATCATTAATATTTCTAATAACATTTTTAATATTTTATTTAAAAATATAGTAGCTACAGCTGTCCCTTGATAATCCAACAGGTATGGGACCAAAGGGATGTCGGATTACCAAAAGTGTCCGGATTACCGAAAGTGATTACATATTTGGCATTTTTTTGCTAGCAGTGGCCTACAATATTCCTTACTCCAACTGTTTGAACAGAACTGCTCATGGAAAACACACAAAATGTGTGCCATCATGTAAGAATTGGGTGGGGAGATTCACGTCGCTACATGCTTCTGTGCAAGCAGACACGTAACAGGGACGGGTACCTTGACGGGAAGTGCGTCAGACTAGTGAGCATGTCGGATTACAAAATGTCGGACTATCAAGGGACAGCTGTATTTTGATTTGTATTTTACAAGATTGTCAAAACTTTACGTATTTTGCATATTTTTAATCTAAAATGTTACAAGATTTACACAATTAATGTATGATTAATTGTAATTTTGAAAGTGTTATTTTTGTTTTACATAAGTAAAATTGTTGAAAATGTATTTTTTTCAAATCTTTATTTTTATAAAATTTAATATTTGATTGAAATTAATCATGAATCATTCAAGAATATATCCATGGAAATGTTTATAAGTTTTGATTGTTATAAGTAATTTAATTTTTTAAAACCAAATTTCTTAATAATGAAAACGTATTATTATGTAAGAGAACATTGTGTACTAATGTATAATATAAATTTAACAGTTATAAAAAATTTTTATTCAATAAATTTAAGGGTTGGTGTGACTGAAAAAGGATATGCAACTTTAAAAGTTTCCCTTAGTGGACAGCCAGGACATTCTTCGTTACCACCTAAAGAAACAACTATAGTAATTTTAGCTAAATCAATTTCAAGGTAAATATATTTAATTTTTGTAAGTAAATCAAAAACTTATCTTATATACAGATCTGTTGGATAACTTTGATAAACTATACTAGAGATATATTTTACATTATGTTGCAAAAATTTTATTCTGTATATTAAATCTTACTCTATATTCTGGTACATAAATCAAACTTACATAAATCAACATACAGTATGAATGTTAGTTTCAAGTAAGAAAATACATGTAGATGAGAAATTATGTATTGTGACATTGTTACAATGTCAGGCTGCAATTTTTAATTTATTTAATTTAAAATATATTCTCTCTACCTTAAATTAGTATTAGCTTGCCCCTGTACATCATGCTTTTCCTTTAACAATAGAGTCATGTCTGTCATTGATTAACTGATTTTTAGGGAAAAGTTTTGAATTGAAATAACATTACTTCCAGTTTGCGTTGGAAGTTCATATATAGTTAATCTGGTCATCCTGTCCCTAAGATTTCCATATTTGGTCTTGTCTTTCATCTATTTAACTCTGTTCTCGAATTAAGGAAAGACATGATGGATGACAGTGGGAATTTATAGGTCTACAATTTTTTCAAATTATAGCCCAATGAACTTATAACTTTGATTGACCAATAACTTAGTGAGTTGTCACATCATAGATGCGCTCATTATATTTTGAAATCAGCAGTTTTAAATTTTCAAAATCTAAAAATTAAAAATGTAATTAATTTAAGCTCTGAAGTTGATTTGTCAATTTGCATTTAAGAATAAGCCCATTAAGTGCCAGAAACACTTAAAATTTTAAATTTTTTGTCTTGCAATCAGAAATATAATTCTATATAATACAGTGGGTGATCGGTTAACGAACATAATCCGTTCTAAGACTTTGTTCGTTAACTGATTATCGATTTACCATAGGTTTTTATGGGAATTTGATTAATTCATTCCAGAGACTCCAAAAAATAAAAAATATATACTTTTTTTAATATGTTTATTTATATGTAATAGTAAAAATACATATATATGCAGTCTTGTATTTTTATTAGTCATGTTTTTTCTGTTTGTGGGGGTTAAAGAATCTGTCTAATGTCGATTGCTTTTCTCTTTTCTTCAGGATTTTTTGGAAGTAATTAACAGTATTGGAACTGTAGAGATCCCCAACCCCATTAACCTTATTCTGGTTTGGATACCACTTGGATGATTGTTGTTCTGACATCCTCCCACTTCTTCAGAAGTTCTTTTGTAGCAGATGTTGACATTGGTCCTCTTTCGTCTTCCTCTTTTTCAAAAGAAAACATATTTTGCCGAATTTCTTGGTGTTGTTCATTTGAGAGTTCTTGGAGTTCTTCTGTCGTCAGATCAGTTTCAGGTTCCATTATAAGCTCTAAAATGCTCTTTATTTCTCAGATGTGATTTTCATTACTCCATTAGCAGCTTGAGACTTCTTGATATATCATAAATTACCAAACGATCGCTTAAATATCGGGCTATAATTAAATGATTGGAATAAAGTAATTTTGCATTAGAGGTAGGCGTTAGGCGCCATCTCTTAAGAAAATTAATAATTAAAATTAAATAAATAAATTAAATAAATTTTAGAACCTTCTGGAATAAAAAAACTGGCCCGGGACGGGGCTTGAACCCGCAACCTCCTCTTGCCATGCGGTGCGCTTGCCAGTTACGCCATCCGGACCCCAAGCAAGTCTTCGCTTCCAGAAGTATATTAGATTAGATATAACCTTACTTGGTTAAATACATCACTGACTGGGGACGACTCCATCGCCCACAACCCCAATGGCACTCAGCCAGCTAACGTAACACCCGGTGAGGTATATATATATAAATAACAACAACTCAAAGCCCGAATAGTATATAATAAATTACCAAACGATATTATAGCCCGATATTTAGGCGATTGTTTGGTAATTTATTATATACTATTTGGGCTTTGAGTTGTTGTTATTTATATATCTTGATATATCTTTCATAGCTAAGATTGTGCCTACTGTACACCTGTTCAAGCCATACTGCCTAGCAACATCAGACATTTTGTTCCCACTTTCTACCTTGGCTATCTCTTACTTGGTTTCTATGGTGAGCACAGTTCTTGACACTCCTCTTTTTAGGCTCCATAATATTATCAGTTTCTTTTTTAAATAAAAAGTTCAGAAAAGCACTTAAAAAATTCAGAGAACAGAAATCAACTAGCCCACAAAAAATTATTTAAATGCAAGGCCCGGATGAAATTCAAAATTTGGTATTAAAATGTTAACGAATATCCGATGGGGACATTAAACTTTCACCTTTCGTAAATAAACCCCCAATACAAAACTTAACAAGTGCCCATCTAACAGTCTTGTGAAGACTATAAAAAATTATTTGTCAGAAAGGTAAACAAAAAGCTAGAATTACAAGGGAGAGTTTCAAAATTCGGAGGAACACTGAATGCTGAATGCTCAACCCGAAACCTGATTGGTTTCGGGTTGAGCATTGATGTTGACGTCTCCTGCACTCTGAAAGATTTCGAATTCTTACCTGAAGACAAGGAAAATCAATCTGTATTCATTATTTTCCATCACTTCTTTTTATGTTTGTTCAGTAAAATGTTTGTTGTTCGATCATAAAAATTGTTCACAAAAGTATTCATTATTCGAACTGTTCATTAACCGATCACCTCTGTATCTATCTTCAACTTTATGATAGTATAATAGAGCGTCATTTATCTGAATCAGTTGGGGACTGGGGTTGTTTGGATAACTTATTTTTTGGATAACCAATTATGTACGAAAAAATATATTAACCTATCCCATGTTGAAATTTTTCTCTGTGTGTGTCGCTTCATGTTGAATTTTCGTTGATGTTTTGCCTAATGAAAATTTTATAATAATAATCGTGGCTGTTGCATTGTTAAAAATTATTTCTTTATTTTGTACAAACAAANCTGAAATTATATTTTAAGATTATTTAATCAAATGAACGACGTCATTCGTTTAATCTCTTTTGTTAGATGACATTTGTAATACATTCGATTTATATATAAGAAAAAAACATATGTTTACACTTGTCTGTCACCATGTTCTGTTGTTATTTGGAATTATTTATCGAAGAAGTTAGAAAATACAAACGTCTGTACGAAAAAAAATGTAAAAAATTCAAAGACACATCTTTGAAACACGCGATATGGACAACGATTGGCTCATTTCCGCGTAACGTTTCGCTGTTCGTGATAGTGGAGTCAAACTAAAACGAAAACAGAACTGAAACGAAAACTCTGTATGTTTCAGTTCTGTTTTTAGGTAATGTGAAGTCCATGCTTTACTCTGTTTGTTTGGCCGAAACGATGATGGACATTTGATAAAGAAGGTCGTATGACAAGTTTGTATCCATAATGGACACCAAGAAGCTCTTTTATTCTCTTAGTAAATGGTTTGGCTAGGGTTTGAGAATTTAAAAACAACAAATAGTGGTTTTCAAATTCTCAAACTCCGTAATATTTCGTAATGGATGCTCCTCACTTTTGCAACTCAATGATCAATGTTCAAAACAAATTTTCCATGGTATTTAATTAATTAATAAGACTCGGTAGAGGCGAGCCGTCAGGTAAGTTCGCCCAGATGGCAGTCTACCGTCTTGGGGGACCCGGGATTGAATCCGGACAGGGTCGAAAAATCCCCAGGAATTTTTCAAAGGTGGTTTATCCGGATATGTCGAACCCCGTCCATCACCACCCAGTCGCCCCATTGTGGGCCTAGAGGCCGTCTTAGTGCCCACTAGGCAAAAGATTTTAAAAATGCCGAACACATAAGAAGCCTGCCAAACTTCTTACATTATTTTATAACACAATTTAAAACTTTAATAAATAAATAAAAAATTATTATAATCCGAAATTAAAAACAAACCAAAACCGAAAAAGAAATTAATGGAACTTCGAAAAAATAAAAAAATAAAAACGAAACTAAATCAATTACGTTTCCTCAAGTGGATTTGTAATTTTTAACCACCAGAGGGCAACGAAACAGAAATTGCAATTGTATTGTTCTAATTCGTGATTTCGGTTTCTCCATGGTTTTTAAGATTTTGGATTTCGTTGGAAATTAATAAAAATTCGAAGCTGGGAGCCTGGTTAACTGAAAAGAGATATGAATGGACATTCGAGCATAGATACTAGTCATGCTACTCAACTATTAAAGGATATATTAAATGTTGGAAAGGGCGAATCGAATGTCTCTGGTATGTATTCGAGTTACGAAATTAAATCTCAATTAAATTCTTAATTACAATTAAGTCAAATCAAATTAAGTCATCCATTTTCAGTTTGATGTAGATTAAGGTTTTAGGTTAATCCTTAAAATATATATATATATATTTTTTTTTTCTTGTCACATTCTGTTTATAAACTGTTTCGTAATCCTACAAACTATAATTAAAATATAATATGAGTTTTTGATTAAATATATTATTATTAAAAATTTTTTTTAATAGGATTTCGGTCATTTTGTTGGTTGGTGGACTGTGATCTTTGGTTAAGAATTTTACAAAATTTTTGGTAATTTTGAAGGATTTTTAAGCGGAAATTAAATAAATTCTCGTCTCATCTGTGCGTAATGAGCGTTGGAAGTGTAATGCCGATGGTAAAGCCGGTTTGGTGTCGCTTTTGTCGGATCTGTTTTGACCGAATCGGTCCCCGACGGTGCCCGTCGAACCTAAAAATTTGGGACGCAATCCGGTTCCGGTCCTCTGGAACTTTTCGGGGAGGTCCGTCGAGGTTTTGCTTGCTGTTCGGGAATAGAGCGGTCCTTTTCTCTTTAATGTTTCTTTGCCAAGTTGTTAAAAAGTAATTTTAAACATTTTATTTTTTCTTAGTAAAAATAACATTAATTTACGGAGATAGGCACTGTGGACCCCGAAGTTTTCTTCGAATCCTGGACTTCTTAGTCTTTCTTAGCTCTCCCCTTTCAGGGACCTAGGCCAGGGGCTTAATCTTAACTGTCATTGATAATCCTAAAGTTTTTGCATCCATTAGCAACAGGGAGCTTACTTTGCATATTTGAAACATAAGACTATTTGGTAATATTCAATATATGTATGCATGGTGTAATTTCAAGTATGCCACACAACACTTTCATTACATTTTGATATCAAAACTTCGTTTCTGTTGAAAGTAGTTGAAACTAGATCCCCTGGTCTGGGTATTTTGTGCCTGTCTTACTACCTGCCCTCCATTATAGACTGACCAAAACTTGTATTTGGTTTAAAGGTCTTCTTACATGTTTGTAAGGCAGGAAAAAAGAAACATGATCCATTTTGATTTGAAGTTTAAGTAATTGGCTACCTTGATATTTGACTGTAAGAACTATCCAATTGTCATATACAGGGTGTATCAGAATGATGATTTAAAAATTTGGGGGATTGTAGAGGATGAAATTTTGAACATTTTTATATAAGGAGCCTATAGCCGGAAATGTGATATAAAGTTTCTACAGCATACTTTGCACGTTCTATGCGGTCAGTATGCTGAATGAAACAGCAGAATGCAGTATTTATGACAAGTTTTATTGACAAAACAGTAGAGTACAATCAAACTGTACATTGAATCAGTGGCTGCACTACTTTAGAGTAAATGTTTAATGTGACGACCACAAACTTCGTTACATAATGTGCAACGATGAACCATGTTTTGTCCGACCCTCTGTAAGATGCCATGCTCTCTGATGGTATTAAATGCTGTAAAGATGCACTCTGTAAGCTCATGAACTGTTCCTACAGGTGTTGCGTACACAAGGGACTCACGTTGACTAGTTGTGTATTTATAGCACAGCGCCAGTGGATGCAAGGGATGACCTGAAGTACGACAAGCACTGAGTACACAACATCCTATACACAGGCTCAGTTAGACCACTGTAGTTGTATGTTTACAGTCTTCCATCTGCAGCAATAATATGATGTCAATGGACAGAAGGGTAGCTACCAAAGTGAAGGGCAGTCAAGCACTTCCTTCTGCTGTAGACAGTTTAGTTCAAATTTCTGGCTGCAGGTTCCTTATATCAAAATGTTCAAAATTTCATCCTCTACAATCCCCCAAATTTTTAAAAATGTCATTCTGATACACCCTGTATAAGGGTTTAAAATAGTGGTTACTTATTAACAAATATTTTAGCTTGTTAATATCACATGACTTATAATAAGTATGAACAATGAATTTGTATGTTTCTTTCCACTATTTAATATGAATTTTTGTTTATCATTAATTACTATTTTAGATGTACTGTACAGTACAGGTATTACAAATGAAAATGTTTAATTTGAATACTGATTTGTTAGGATGATGATCATTTATTAATACATGTATAAAAATTAAAATAGCATAAAATACATTAGAATAAAATATAATAACTCGGTTATCTAAATCCAGTGAGGAACACAAATTTATTAAATGAACTAATGTTAACCTTGTTTAATGGTCCTTCTCATGTTCTGATGTTAGAACAAATTTGTGTTCTTCACTGGATTTAGGTGACTGTGTTATTATACCATGTACATTGTTATTTCATTAATTTATTCAAAATAAAACAGATGTTTATATTGCAGTGCTTATGTTTGTCCATAATACATGTATTATATATCTATAAATTATTGGTTTTTAATAAAGATTTATTACTAACATCTCATAAATTTTAAACAACAAAGACTTAAGAAGATACATATACATTATCTCTTCTGTTTATATCATATTCTTTCATTCATTTATTACAGCATATATATATTTCATATGAATTTTATATTTAATACGTATTTTATTTTTTATGAAAGAAATATGTTTTATTGTATAAGTATCAATATTTATGAAACTAATAAAATTTAATATTGATCAATAACAGTTACTCACTAGCATTGTTAACAGTTTAAAATATTGTGATTATAATTATTAATAGGTCTTTAAAAGATATTTCATGCTACTCGTTTCTAATGATCCTCGTTTAATAAATTTATATAATTAACATTGATTACTACATTACTTGTTTGATATTAGAGCAAACTCCATATTAAAATTTATAACTAAATTATAATTTATTAAATTATATTTATTAAAGAATGTCAAATATAAAATATGATCTGAATTGTCTTCTCTGGATTAAAAGTTTCCAAAAAATTCATACTTTGCTCTGGTAAAAACAATTCATGTATGATATGAAAATATAGTCTGTCAGATTCCTTCAATACTTAGTTACAAGAGTTTTTGTATTCACATTAATTTCTGGATTTATGATTTATGTAATTGTTAAATTTATTAGATCTAATAAATGTTAGAATAAATATTTCAACTTTTATCTTATTTGAAACTATAATTGGAAAAATTTAAATTGAACTTTAAGTGGAAATTTATTATATTCATCATTTCATGTGAATAAATGATATATTTTCAGAGTTTGGCAGAATCTTCATGTGGTTATCAGTTGTCTAATACTATCAGAATTAGTAGGTCTCAAAACAAGCAAAATAAATATACAACTTCCTTTATTGTAATAGTTTTGGTTACAGTTATCATTATTTTTGTTAAATAAGTTTTCTTTTGCTAATGGTTATCAGTTATTGTTATCAGCTTCAAGCAGTGCTTTAAACATTAAATGTTTTAATTATTTGTTTGCAGTATAGCAGTTTAAATTGATGACATTTCTTACTTCTAATATATACTAGCTTTGTTAAAGACTACTGCAAAAACACAGAAAGCAAGCAATACTAGAAAAATTACTTTATTTTTTGTCATCTAAATACAGTGGGTGATCGGTTAACAAACACAATCCGTTCCACGACTTTGTTCGTTATCCGAATTGTACATTAACTGGTTATCGATTTGTCATAGGTTTTTATGGGAATTTGATTAATTTTTTAAACATAAGACTATTTGGTAATATTCAATATATGTATGCATGGTGTAATTTCAAGTATGCCACACAACACTTTCATTACATTTTGATATCAAAACTTCGTTTCTGTTGAAAGTAGTTGAAACTAGATCCCCTGGTCTGGGTATTTTGTGCCTGTCTTACTACCTGCCCTCCATTATAGACTGACCAAAACTTGTATTTGGTTTAAAGGTCTTCTTACATGTTTGTAAGGCAGGAAAAAAGAAACATGATCCATTTTGATTTGAAGTTTAAGTAATTGGCTACCTTGATATTTGACTGTAAGAACTATCCAATTGTCATATACAGGGTGTATCAGAATGATGATTTAAAAATTTGGGGGATTGTAGAGGATGAAATTTTGAACATTTTTATATAAGGAGCCTATAGCCGGAAATGTGATATAAAGTTTCTACAGCATACTTTGCACGTTCTATGCGGTCAGTATGCTGAATGAAACAGCAGAATGCAGTATTTATGACAAGTTTTATTGACAAAACAGTAGAGTACAATCAAACTGTACATTGAATCAGTGGCTGCACTACTTTAGAGTAAATGTTTAATGTGACGACCACAAACTTCGTTACATAATGTGCAACGATGAACCATGTTTTGTCCGACCCTCTGTAAGATGCCATGCTCTCTGATGGTATTAAATGCTGTNGCTTGAAACTTCTTGATATATCTTTCATAGCTAAGATTGTGCCTACTGTAGCCTGTTCAAGCCATACTGCCTAGCAACATCAGACATCTTTTGCCCACTTTCTATCTTGGCTATTATCTCTTACTTGGTTTCTACGGCGAGCACAGTTCTTGACACTCCTCTTTTTAGGCTCCATAATAATATCAGTTTCTTTTTTAAATAAAAAGTTCAGAAAACACTTAAAAATTCAGAGAACAGAAATCAAACTAGCCCACAAAAAATTATTTAAATGCAAAGCCTGGATTAGTATTAAAACGTCAACGAATATTCGATGGGACAGTTAAACTTTCACCTTTCGTAAATAAACCTTGACACAAAACTTAAGTGCCTGTCCGACAGTCTCGCAAAGACTATAAAAAATTATTTGTCAGAAAGGTAAACAAAAAGCTAAAATTACAAGGGAGAGTTTCAAAATTTGGAGGAATACTATCTGATCAGTATCAGGTTGAGCATTGATGTTGACGTCATCTCCCGTGCTCCAAAAGGTTTTGAATTGTTACCTGAAGACAAGGGAAAATCAATCAGTATTCATTATTTTCTGTCATTTCTTTTTATGTTTGTTCAGTAAAGTGTTCGTTGTCCGATCATAAAAAGTGTTCGTTGTCCGATCATAAAATCTTTCG